CGCGCGGGGACAGCGCGGCGGGGGCAGGGCGGGGCGGGGGCTGTGGCCGAGCCCTCCGCGCCGCCCCGCTGCCACGTGGATGCCACGGCGCAGCACACCCGCCCTTGCTGTACGTGGGGGCATCGCCTATGCAACCCCTCTGAAAACCTAAAAAAAATCTAAAAACTGTGCATTTTAATTTTCTGCTGCAAAGCTACAAGTCACTGAATTTGCTAAAAGCCAGCAGAGTTTATGGTTGGGGGTAGGTTTTTTGCTTGCAGCACAGGGACCAGCATGGCAGTCTATAGTAGCAGCAATAATCAGTACAACTCTTGTGAAAAGGGGTAGCACACCTTAGTTGGCTGGTGCCCCATGAAGGTGCCCTTGGGAGTCCCTGTCCACATTTTGCCTGAAATTCTGGTAAGTTTTCTTGGAGAATTAATGTTATTCTCACCCCTTAATTAGAGCTGAATGGTTGTGTTTGAGAAAAATTCCAGCTTCTCTAGAGTAAAGCCACAAAGTCTTACTGCAGCTTGATTTAATTCTGTAGTTGTGGAAGTCCATTTAAACAGGATAGAGAAAACAAAACGTGCTGGAGCCCCGCTGACAGCCTCGGTTAACCCACCTCCCCCGGCGCCTCCCGCAGCCTGCCTGTCCCTGCAGCGCCAGCTCTCTTCCTGGGGAGCTGCTGGACGGGATTCTGCCAAGAGGCTGCAGCTTTGCACAGTCTTGCTAAAAATTTCATCCACTGCCTACAAGTACTGAGGAATAACAGCACACGTGTAAGCATGAATGGGATCCTTCTCCTTCATCACTGCTGCAGTTTCACACCCGCAGTTCAGTGCCTTTTCAGAAGGATGCGGGGTTTTTTGAGAACAGAGGGAGCTGACGCTCCTCCCACGGCCCTAGCTTTGCAGAAAAGCAGGAGTGGTTCAGGGAGGAGAAAAGGTAGGCAGACCTGAATTGGCTTCACACAGCAAATAACCTGTAATCTGTTCAGGCAGAAAAGTTTAGGGGGAGTCTGGTTTCTCAGTCTCCAAGCACTTGTCCATGCAGCAGTGGACTCAGGGTACCATCCACAGCATTGCACGTTCAGTGTGTGTGTGTGTGTGTGTGTGTGTGTGTGTGTGTGTGTGTGTGTGTGTGTGTGTGTGTGTGTGTGTGTGTGTGTGTGAAGATGTGGTGCGTGAGGGGCTGCACGGAGCACATCTTACAAGCAGTTTTCTCATTGCAAGGGCTGCTCGGCACCACAGGTCCTTTTAACCAGGCAGTGAGAGGTACCAACACCCTCCCAGAGAAGTACTTTTCTGCCCTGCTGTGAGCGAGCTCAGCCTCTGTCCCCGAAATGTCTGTGTGCCTGGCCACAGAGACACTTCTCCTGAACACGGAAAGAAGCCCCTGTACCCAAGATTATTCACGTAAACCATGTGTGACACTTACAGAGGTAAGAGCACCCCTCAGGGCTGGCAGTTGGGTCACCAGGTTTCTCATTTTACCAGTGCGAGGTAAGATGATGATTATGGGACTTTTTCCAAACTAAAAGAATGAACTTACAGGAGAACTCAAAATATAACCAAGCTACCAGCCTCATTATATGGCTTTCCTGGTACAGGAGTTAGCCAGAGAAGAGCAAGGACCCAACACTTGTATTGATTATGTCCAGACTAAGGACCAGGCCGGATGGCTACAAACCCGTGAGCTGTCCCCATGAAGTGTTCAGGTTCCCAGCAGCGGGAGGCACGTGAGAGATGCTCCTGAACTTAAACCTGAAAAGAACCTGACTCACCACCAGAAGCACTGGCCCTGAATCCAACCTGAGGTCCAAGCGAAATCCTCCCTTTCAAAATTCAGATGAGAAGTCTGGATTTGGCCCACCTAAACTACACCAATGTCTGTCAGCAGTCATTCTCCTCTCAAAAGTGAAATTATACCTGTGGGGAAGAGAGTGAGATTCAAATCAGTCCCACAGACCAGTAATTAAGAAACAGGCAATATTCTTATTTATACTTTATAAGTGTTGACTGTCTCCGTGCTTTCTGATGGGTGCTATCCCCACTCCATTACGCTTGCCAAACACTCCAGCTCTCAGTGACAGCAGCTATAGCTAAAGACAAGACTTGCAGTGCCAAATTTCACCATTTTTCATCTTAGTGACACTACAGTGAAGAGGCTCTGCTGGGGCTTTTTTGTTAGAAGATTCTGCTATTTCAAAGTGCCTTTGCTATAGAACGATTTCATATTGTTTAAACTATACAGGTATAATAAATTATACCTGTCTGAACGCAATAAAAAAGCAACAGTAAGAGCTCCATTTCTAACAGTTTAAAAGGGCTAGTATTAGACAGTTTATTCTTGAACAGAAAGGGGAATAAATCATAGTGAAGATGACTGTATCATTAGATATTGCAGCTGTTACAAAAAAACTCTCCCACCTCAAATCACAGAGGCCAAGTATTCCCATCCTTTTCTCAGGACTAAGCAAAGACTGAAGGCATAAGGATGCCTCTGTAGCAGTCCTGCAAATAAGCACTTCAGTCCAAATTGCATTTGCACTCTATTACACAGACACTGCATGTGTAATTGAATGCAAATAAAACAGCACATCAACCATTTAATTTTCTTGAGGAAAACAGATTTTGCTGGTACACATCTAGTTATTTCCTCCCAGTTAGTTACTTCTGACTGGTGAAAGTGAATGAAATCAGGGATGGAATAATAAAGACAACACAGAGGATTTCCGGAAGTTTGCAATAGTAGGATTGAACTTTGGCAAATTATAAAGAAAAAAACAAAAGCAAACCCCCACATGCAATGACTAAAACTCTACTGAGAAAAAGTGACAAAAAGAACAGCTTTATTGACCAACCAGAATGAAACCAGACAAAGTGAATGAGAGGACTAAGTGATGCAGGCAATCAGTATTTGCATGTCTGCCATACAAACAAAGGCTTCCGTCTCACTGTCCTCACCCAAGCAATATTCCCACTGGCATCCGGAAACACTGAACCCGGGTAAGGTCTGGCAGGCTGAGCCTCAGATTTATTTTCACATTTTTTAAAAATACACATTTTTATTTATTCATTGTGAATAGATTAAAAATACAGCATATAGCAATATAATTCCAAAAGTCTGTCAAATATATAGTTTTTCTCTTCAAAAGAATGTCATAGAATAAGTTGTGCATATTTCTGTAAACAATTTCCATTTTCAAATTATTGACAGTCCTATTTATTGTATAGCTAAATATGATACCACCTGAGGACAGAAGGTAGGCTACATCACTAAAAAGAGTAGTATTTGCAAACAAAGGATTAATCATCATAACTTCTTCACTGAGCTGTGTGCACATTTACATACCAGATCTACAGAGAACTGTCAGCAACTTTAGCAACTACTGAATTTAGCAAATTAAACTACACCAAAAAGTGTCACTAATTACACTCTACATCCTTTACGTACACATTTTGGACGGGTACATTCAATCTCCTCTCCTCCCTGCGTGGTTGGTGGTGCTGTTACACATGCTTCCTTCTCAAGGAAAAATCTCAAAGACCTGGCATCAACACCTCATCAGGAAAACAAATCGTTTTGTCTGAATTTGTTACAGTGCCTACACTGTATCGGTTCTGCACAAAACACTCCGACTATTCAGCTGTCTTCAGAGGTGAATGGCACATTCACTTTTCATTGAGAGCTGATATTTTAATGCTATGAACTGAAAGAACAAAAAGGCCACATCCAAAAGAGGCTTTAGGCACCTAAAGCAGAACTTTGGATAGGCGCTTAAAACATCCATCTGATTTGCGATCCTACAAACTCTGGATCTATTTCAGCATATTGGGTCCAAAAATTTGGTTATTTTAGTACCTAGCTTAATATCTACCTAAGCCCAACTGAGATCTAGAAATTAGACATTCCTCCATTAATGGATTGAAGAGCTTCACCTTCACTTCAAAACAAAACACAAAATAAAAAGGCAGCCATGAGCACTACTTTCCCAAACCCCCTGAATTATACAGCAAGAAGATGCGGCCATGTGTTGCAAGGCTACTCGCAGCTACAACTGCCTGGTGGTTACAGCACCCACCCAGAAGTATGACATCCGAGGATAACTTTTCCTTCTCTCCTAGAAAGGATTCAAACCTTCCCATCTCACTTCCTTAACCACCAGGATATCACCTCTTTCAGACAGTGGCAGTTGTTACTAACATCATGCTTGGATACTGTTTAAACAACAATTCAAGATCCACTTGCCAGAAAGAGAGTAAATGAGGAGCACAACTGTGGAGCCCAGTGATGGGCACTCGCACAGGAAAGGAAGAACTGATTTCTGTTCCTTGAACGGGTTCTGCATTTTACAAGAAAGTAATATTACTTGGCTATGCATGCAAGAAGTCCCAATGAAATCAACTGCATCATCTAGTAGACTGCGTAGTTTTAAGCATGCTTTTAAAAGCTTGGCTAAAGTGAGGCTGGTGAGCATCATAGGTCATTCAGCACTTCACAGGGACTGCCCCTTATTCACATCAATTTACACCCTCAGGACACTGTAAGGCCAAGAAGGCAAAAGCTTCCGTCTTAATCTCCTGTGAAACGACTGTTAACCACGACCAAGAAATAGGAACAGCTTCTGTACTATCCGTATAGATGGCACAGCAGCTTCAGAATAAAATACTGGATTTGGAAGAAACTTACTTCTATGCAATGATAATTCAACCACCACCATAATTTTATCCTCCCATTACTGGTTAGGATTATGCAAACAGGACACAGAAATTCAAGTGTTTGGGGATAATATTGTCTTCTCTTTTTAACCAGCAATTTTCTCTAACCGTCGTTTGAAACCATTTGCAGATAAAACACTATTTTAAAAGCTATCTAAACCAGATAAATTATTTTCTATACATAGAAACAGGTGAATCAACATCCTCTAACCTTTTCAAACATCGCTCTGGAAATGGTGGAAAGTGTATTCTCATTTTAAATGAGATGATCTAGCTTCACTGAGAAATGAGATGTCACTGTAAAAATAACTTCAAGTTACCCATATATTACAGATCTTGCTACTGTACATCATTGGACAAATATCATAAGATCAGTAGAATTTTATACAACTAGTTTATTATATGGTGCAAAATGTGAAAATGAGAGAGGTAGCTAGATGCCTCACCTCATCAGGAACATCAGTGATTTTCTGATGGTAAATATGCAATGTTGGTAATGAATAAAACATATTCCACCCTGAATATCCTCACTGCCAATCTGAAGCATCTTCCCCGCCCCTCCCCAAAGTGTAAGGATTCTATCTGGAATTCGTTTGGGAAGAGTAACAGAAGCCCCCAACAACACCAGTGTAATAGAATGGGACTACTTATTAAAATGAGTAGCTGCACGCTTAAATTGAAAAATATACATTCACATGAAAATTTGGTGAGATACACCAAAAATTATGAAGAAATGCTGAGAATTTAGGAAAATGTTTTTCTGTATGTGGGGAGGAAAAGAAAAATGTAAACACACTGATCATTTGCTGCGTAAAAAACAGGACATGTGAAACCTAAACAAACATCAGCTTCATTTTTCATCAAAAAAACTAGGACCCTCAGTTCTAACAGTTAAAAAAAATACAAAAAGTCAAGTGTGTCTGTATTACAGCTTTAAAACACTAGCAGAAGTACGCTACGGCACCCTACATACCACTTATATTTGGATTTCTCCCCTCAAAAAAAAATTAGAAAACTAAAATACAAAAAAAGAAACTGGTAACATCACATAAAAATACATCTTTTTAGCTGCAAATACAGCAAGTCTATAAAAAAATTATATACAAGAACTGCTTAATTGCAGTGTCATTCTTCCATCATCGCCCAAGCCTCTTCTGCTTTTTGGTAGTACTGATTTGCCAATCTGCCTTTCATGGCTTCCATTGCTGCTTCTGCTGCTTCTGTGTACAGATCACCTAGAAGAGGAAATAGTATCAGTTATGTTGACAGGGTAAAGAAAAAAACATCTCTTTATCCTGAAGCAATTAAAGAACAAAAAGAGAAATTGAGGTCAAACTACAGGGCCGGATGTACGGGTGTATTTTAATAGTGTCAGCAGAGTTAGATCAGCTGGGAATCTGGCTTTTGCTCTTCAAGTTGAAAGTTATATGACTGGCTGCTGATGGCTTTTCAATGTATTTGGAAGGATTGGAAACATGACTATGTGATCCTACATGCCTGTAGGATCCCCCAAGACGACTCTAAGACTTAGATGCCTGACATTGAAATTACACAACAACTAAGACAATGTTGTGTAGGGCCTGGGAGTCATGGGTGTAACTCAAAATACAAGCAGCAACCTGCAGTTCAGTGGCCTCACAGGGAGTGAAGGTTGCTTGCTAGTGACTCAGTGTGTCACAGGATTGGACCTGGCACCGCCTACTACCCCTGTCATCAGCAAGATCTCTTATTTCACTGTTTCCAGCCTTGTATCACCCAGCATTATTACAGCTCCATGCACAAATCTGAGGGTACTGACCCTCTGTATGTTTTATAACAGCTGAAGCAGGAAATGCATTTTTGGGGTACATGCTGGGGAAAAAGGGAAGGAAAAGTAGGATTATTAATTACAGAAACAAAGTGAGGCCTCACCTGATCTCTGTGGATCCTTATTCAGGTGGAACCCTCCTATCATTAACATCTCTGCTTCCCTGGCCAGGAGCAGATACCGGGGCTCATCCTGAGTGCCATCATATTCACCTCCCTCATCGTAGTCGGTCATATTCAGTGCAGCATTGTACCAGTACAGCGCCTCCTTCCAATCCTGTACTCTGAAGTTAAAAATAATTTTTGAAGATGGTTACCTTAGGAAACAAATGTACTTCGCATTGGAGATTCAGAATTCAATTTTGCACTAGCTTCTCAGAGCCTTGATGCTCTCCAAGAAAGCAAATATTCTCACGGAGGCTCACTAACTCTGCACTGCAGCATCAGGTCACTATATCAAAATGGGGCTGGGGTCACTTTATGCAGTAATTACAGAGGAGAAAGTATCACACTGAAGGGTCTTGATGAACTCCAGAGTCTGAGCTTCATTACAAGTTGTATGGTTTTGGTCTGGCATTTATACTTGTGAAGATAACTGATTTGAAAACAATCTGAAGTTGCAGAGAGTCTTGTTTCATAAATACTTTAAAACCAGCGATTTTCATATTGAGAATGCCCAGTGCACTTCAATGAGAAGTTTAATGTTATTTTAAACTTCACCATTGCCAAGAGTTTCACTGTTGTGCAAAACAGAAAAAACTCACGTAAATAACAAAGACATGCTACAATACAAAAGCAGAAAAATCACTATGACCACCTGTTGTATTTGGTACTTAAGGAAATTAGTATTTGTCCACTTTTAAAAACTCATCTAAAATGCTAAAAAAAAAAATCAAACCAATATACTTTGTAGCCTTTTGGCAAATCACAATCTAGTTCTTAGTCACAATACTGCTCCTATCCCTCCTATCAAGATAGAAGTGCTGGCCAAATTAAGAGACTTATTGAAGTAAAAACATTTTTAAACCTCTTAAAACTTAAAATCATCCTTAATTAAAAGTAACATCCTCAGCATTAAGACTATGTTCCTGTGAAATTTCCATTCCTACTTTTATTATGAGGAGCAGTGAAAGACTACAACTGTGACAAATGCCAAGAAGGCCAATGGCATCCTGGCCTGTATCAGAAATAGTGTGGCCAGCAGCAGTAGGGAAGTGATCGTGCCCCTGTACTCGGCCCTGGTGAGGCCGCACCTCGAATACTGTGTTCAGTTTTGGGCCCCTCACTACAAGAAGGACGTCGAGGTGCTGGAGCGTGTCCAGAGAAGGGCAACGAGGCTAGTGAGGGGTCTGGAGAACAAGTCTTATGAGGAGCGGCTGAGGGAACTGGGGTTGTTCAGCCTGGAGAAAAGGAGG